ATCTCTTTGCATAGAATCTGAAGGAGCTTACGGCGTATCAATTGGAGTTAAACTCCATCCGCAAATCGCTTCGCAATATCGTAAAAAATCATAACAAAACCTGCAATTTTAACCCGAGAGAAGAGATTTTGAGAGAGTTTTCCGGGGCAACTTCCCGACGATTCAGAAGGATCCAGCAGACGATCTACATATGGTTGCAAAGCTCTTGCTATCAGCTATTCTGATCTTCTTTCCGTTACCTATTCTTAGATATACGCGAACCGCAAACTTTGTTTTATAAGATAGATTATCCAAGATAGTATATACGCTATATATTAATAATATGATATATTATTATTTGTATATAATTTTTTAACATTTTTATATTATTATTTTCTGAAATTTGTGTAGCTTACACTACCATCTCATTTTATCTTCTATCCTTTTTTTTAAATAAATTAAAATTTATATAATACTCATATAGAGTGTCATTGTAAATCGAGAATTTGAGATCAGAAATAATACACAATATAACCGGATGAAAAAATAAATTATAAATACGCAAAAACAAATATGAATAAGAAGTAGAATTAAAAATAAAAATAAATCTCTACATTTTTGTTGTAACACTCTCAAACTTTGTTTTACGGAGTCATTTAAAAATCTTAAGAAAGAATTTTATAATAAACGCATGTGTGGCTCAAATTTTATAATGAACACATGCATGTATACCAACCATAATAAATTTATTTTCTTCATCAAACCAATTAAAAAGAGATGAGCTGAGAGCTACCGGAGAATTTTATAAAATTTGATTTCACAAATTTTTTATAACAAATATTTATCATAAATTTTATTTGATATAAATAAACATATGAATAAGAAATAAAAGTAAAAATGAATATTTACAGTTTTTGTTTTCTGTAAAAATCTTAGGCTATGTCTTTGGTTTAAAGTATCTCTAATTCACCTTTATTTTAAATCTTCTAATTTAGAAGAAAAATAGCAATGTTAGTTTTTCTTCTATAATTGGAGAAAAAAATAATAATCTTTCTTTTTCCTTTAAAATAGATATAGGTTGGAGAGAAATCCACCTATATTTTAGAGGAAAAAATAGAAAAATACATTAGAGATGATCATAATGATTAATATATTATTCAAGTTTAAGAAGAAAAAAATATGAGTCAAAGAAGACAAAAACATTTTTAATTGACTTTATGTTTTTATTTTGAAATATTTAAAAATATTATCTTACACATATTAATTCTTTCATGCATATATTTTTTTCAACTTTTTAAAACATTATTTCATGAATCAAGTTTTGTATATGTTATGATCCATTATATATAAGATTAATACATATATTAAAGTCAGGAACAGAAGAACTCTTATTTTTTAATATAACAATTAAATAATAAATATATTATTTTACACCTTCAACCATACACATATAAGTTTAGGATCCGACTGGTTTAAATGCTGCGGTTACAGAGAGTTTGTGGAAGCAAATGATTGCGGGTTATAAAAAAATTGACAAAGAGATGAGCACAAAGCTATCAGAAAATTTTATACAATAAAAATTCACAAATTTTATAATAAATTTTTATTATAATATTTATTCAGAAACCATATATCATAAAACGCTGAAATATAATTTTTTTGATTAAATTTAAAATGATGGAAACGGTTTTCGTGATTGCTAAACGTTAAAAACTGTATCGTGTAAAATCAAAACGTTTGCAGAAAATATCAGAAAACTACCCAACACCTATATATTACAATTCATTTATCTAGAACTTATACCTACATGCATAAATATACGTATTTTTATATAAAAAATCAATCATACATAATAAAAATAAATATTACAAAAAATATATTTTGTTATTTTTTTAACTCATAAAAACCATACTTTATTTTTTTCACAAATATACGTGTAGATATAAATATTAATTATGCAAAAATCAAAGTCGCATGCAAACTTGTCGTGCATATATATTTTTAACCTCGATTACACTCTAATTTTAATTTTAGTTATTAGTCAATTTTTATTTATTAAAAAAAAATTATATATGTTCTAAGAGCGATGAGGTGGTTGGTACGTGCGGACCAATCATAAAAAATAAATAAATTATTATATATTTTAATATTTTCAGTTTATTTAGCTATCATATATACATTTTTTTATCTAATGAAGTATTTAAAAATCTGGGTTAATATTTTTTTTATCTTCAATTTCTATTGAAATCTATAATATTTTTTATTTGATTTATTGTTATTTTTATTATTAAATATTTATATAATACATCATTAATTATAAAAATAAAACATCTTCAATATATAAAATTAATTATATATTTAATATATAAATTATTTTATAATATGCATATGGTGCAAACCGATCACCTAATAATAAACTAAACTATCTAGTTCTACTGTGAATTTATAATTCTTTTTCCCAACAATACCATAGTAATCTTTATTAAAAGAGTATTTTTGTGATTTTTGTTTCCTCAAATTTATTTAACATATATGTTCACGTACTATTTATTTTTCTATGTGTTGTAAAAATTTAGTTTATATAGTTAAATAGTTTGTAAAAGGTCATAGATATTTTGATGATAAAATATATTGTTTTAGTAACTCGCCGTATTGAAACTCACCGTTTTATCCATACAAAAACTACAACATTTTTTGTCAAACTGTCAATGGAATAAACCCCTTTTTGATTTCTTTGCTACCATTCTTCTTCTTTCTCTAATTGCTTTTCGATATGATTTTAATTATTAAATGAGAACGAGATTTTGATTCAGATTCTAACATCAAACAGAATACAATGCAATTTCATACTTCCGATCTGTTTCTAGAGAGAAGATTCATCGGTGCAAATCTGTTTTGATTTCCAGTTTTCAACATCCCTTCTTAAATTAATAATTTTCCCAAAAGACAATTCGATTGTTATCATTAGCTTGTTTATCATTGACTACCAAAAAAATGGAGAAATGAATTGTTTCTGGGTTATCACAAAACCCACAATATCAAGATTTTGTTTTAAAAGCTGATGTGAATCAAACTGTATTGGTGATAACGCTAGCTAAGGTAGAGATTGGAAGCCAAATTTAATCACTCATTTGCATTATTTGAATTACATCGTTGCTAAAGTCTTTCAAGAACTAAACCAATATGTTTCTAAAGAGTTGGCTGGAGACGACGGAGTAAGAAGAAAGAGAAGTTGGAGAGAACATGTGTAGTTGCTATTAGGCAGGAGCAAGACAACATGTAGTTCATAAATTTTATCTCATGTGTGCTGTTTTTTTGTAAACAAAACAACATGAAGTTCGTCAACCTACACAGACAAAGTGACATGTTTCAATTACCGTTACCGATATAACGTCCGTTATCACTATATTGCAACGGTTTGACTGATAGATAAATGGTTGACTTGCATTTTTCTAAGGTAAGGGGTTGAGTTGCAAATCTGAAAACCCTTTTAAATACATTAATATCATTTTTCTTTAATTTATTAATATAAATTAGGTATTTATCCGCGCTATGCTGCGGGATGTTATTCTAAATTTTATATATTTAAAAAAAAAAAAAAAAAATTTTACAGTGTAAATAAATATTATATTTATTTTTTATTTAGCATAAGTTTTGGATTTAGGCCCTATTTATTTCTCAATATATATGGTTCATTTGAATAAAAATGAAAATTTTGTTTGTTTTGTAACAATCAAAAAATATTTAGATGAATAATCTAGATGATTTTTCAAGATTTAGATAAATTTATGAGAATTATCTGAATGAACCAAATTGGACCATCTTGATGGAGATGTTTCAGTTCAAAATGACAAATGACTAAAATACTCTTAAATTTAAAAATAATAAAAAACATAAAATCATATTTTTCGAGAAAACCATAAATTATGCTTTTCTAACGAAATCTGAAAATTGTATATTTTTTTTCTAAACTGGTAAAATCATATTTTCTGGTAAATTTGAAAAATCGCATTTTTCAACCAAAACTAAAAAAACACATTTTACTATTATAAGTTTACTTCTGATCATAAATTTCTCTACTCGCAGGTTATATTCATATTTTTAATTATGAAACTTTTAATGCATGTTTTTCTTACACTAACTATAATAATTATTTTAACATTAATATTTCTTTAGCATTAAAAAAATATTTAGTAAAAACCACAAATGAAACAACAATTCACATTAGCTTACATATTTACTATAGCTTAAGTTTATATATTGACTTTACCTTAGCTCTAGAAATTAAAAAAGCTACAAAATATATATAGAAAGAAACCGAATAACCATGTCAAATGTTTGAAGCTCGTATTTAATTGACCTCAGATCTTATAAATTTATTTTTCTTCAGTTCTTCTTCGCTCACATATGCTAGAAACAAGTCTAGCAACTACGAAAATGGCTTCACAATGTCGCCATTCCTCCCATTCTCCAAATCATATCAGCGTTTCTTTCATTTATTGAATCATAGTCACTGGTCAAGATTTAGGCGGTTGACAACTTTTTCGATCAGATCTATTTAAATATAATATATCTTAATACATTTAAACATAATATATTTGCTTTCAAAAACTTAATACACTTTCAAATATTCATTCATAAGTATACAATAACTTGATTAAAAATACTCATTCTTTTGATAATTAATTAAAATTTGGTGCATTCTCTCTTTGTCAAAGTATAAAAAATTATTTAATTTTAATATATAGAAAACATAATTTTCCAAAGTAAAGTGACAAATGCAACATCTCAAAACAAAAAACCACAAACTGCTACATAAGCTATTAGCCGTAACAGCAACTCTGCTAACTTAATTCGTCGTCAAAAAGAGTAACACGAACAACATTAACAGACAAAAGCAGTTTATATTTCAAAAAAGAAAGAAAGAATTACTCTGTTAACAGTGAAATTCACTTTTGAAGATATAAAAACTACTTCTAATTGGTGGATGCATGACACTCCGACTCAATTCCAAACACTTGCTAATCCATATTTTGAGGTGGAATATAGTAAGGGGCCGGCCATCTAGAGTTTCCACTGACGATGAAGCAATTCAGATCGATGATCGTTGCGTGTTCATCGGAATCGTAGAAGTTGACACTGTTAGAGCCTAGGCCAGGGAAGGAGCTAGCAGAGACACAGAATGGTTCAGACTCGGAGATGAAGATGCAGAGATCTCCAATGTCTTGAGTATAAACGGCGTTTCCTTCATCGTCTAGCTTGAACACCATCAAACCTTGTATTTTCATTTTGGCAACACCTTCGACGATCTCGGTGGTCTTCTTGTACAGCTTAACCAAGAAAGTCTCGCCGGTTGTTCTTGACTCCACCAAGTGTTCTCTCGTGCAGCACGAATCCAGAAGCTCTCGCGTGGCCGTCGGCAGCCTGGGAAGGTTTTGAAACCGCAAGCTCTGCAAGTTGGGGTTATCGCTGTCTTTGCAGGGATCCCATGAACCGATGAGGTGTCCTCCAGATCCGGGGATGCGAAACATGTCGTGTTTCTTGGAGAACATGACTCGGGAGGAGTAGAAGCAGGGGTTTTCGATCCTGATGTTGGTCCACTCCGGTTTGTTCGCGGGTCTGCAAAAGCTGAGCTGCGGTCCCAAGAACTTGACAGCCACGACACAGTCCTCATCCTCTGGAGAAGAAGAGGACATGGCCACGTTGGTGACGATTTGGGTTTGGCAATGAGGCAGAGTCACAAGAGGAGGCAGGGGGATGCGTTTTGGGTCTATATCGGAGGCAACAGGGTTTAGATCGTCTTGGAGACGCAGGATCCCGTCGTCCCTAAGAGTAGCTACCCAGCCATGAGATGCCCCGATCGTTACCATTCTTGATTTACTACGAGAATTGTGCACCAAATCTATGGGCACTCTCTTATCCAAATCAGTGACTCCAGATTGTTGATCAGCATATGAAATGCAGAGCCTTCCGAGACCCTCTCCACAAGATTCAGCGCAGATGATGGAACAAGGAGGACTTTGCCGCAAGGAAGATGAGAAGTCGTAAGAGAGAAGAAGAAGAAGAGAGGATCTTCTTACCAAGGCAGGTTTCCCAAGGCGGAGCCTCGAGAGAAGCAGAGACATGAATAGAATGTTCTTAATGTAAAGCAATTATGAACTGCTATTATTCTCCACCTAAATACTAAAACCTTCCATAAATACAGAGGAGTGGCCTTGCCAACCAAGTTAGAGAAGTAGCCTTGCCCACCAAGTTTTTGTTCGATATTACGAATTTATTTTTTGAGTTAAACAGATGGAAAGAAAATATTGCTAAAAAGAATTTTGACAGCATAACATTTTTATGTATTGCGTTCGCATTTAAAGACAATTTTAGTCAAAAGGGGGGTTATCAAGTTAATAAAGCGAATAAAAACCCATAGACAACAATTTTATGTGAAAACTCTTTAACTATAAGTCTATTAATAAATAAATAAAACACTTTAATTTGTCTACATTATTTGTTAAAATCTCAGTGACTAACATTAAATCAAACTTTTGTGTTTTGGATTGTAAAAAATTGCATGTGGTTTAAGAAACTCCAAACAAGTTTAATAAAAACAACCCTCTAAGTAAATATGGATCAAGGCCCACATAGCTGGCTCAAGTGGTTGACTTTCCTTTTTTGAAAAAAAAAAGTGCATTAGATTGAATTGGTAGAATTTAGGTTTAGAGATTTAATAAAAAATGTAATCCTATAATAGCCAAAAATTGTCAACTTAAAAAAAAAAACAAAGGAGAAAAAGTAATAAAGGAGAGAAGAAGAAAAAGAAACATGTATCTCTTTTATATAAAAAGGATAAATTTCTAGGCTTCTAAGGGCTGCTACATCAACAAAAATAATTAATCAATGATAGATTTCAAAACTGCTATGTCACCTTCTTCAACTAATAATTTAAAGTTATTTCATTAAATAATTTATTTTAAACTCTGGGTTTTCATAAGAATAAAAGAGGAAGAAGTGTTTTGACGCCAATAGGCATCATACATGGCATAAAGGCTCAGGTTTAGAAACATCTGTTAACCGAAAAACAAAAGCATACAATGAAAAAGGTACTCTGTATGATTTACTGTAGTTAAGAAATGTAAACATGTACATAATTTTTTTTTTCTTTTTCTTTAACACTTGGATTATCGTTGAATCAAAGGGTTCGAGAATTGGGGAAAAGACACCTACAAGACACCAAAGCCACGGACTAATAAATAAGAGCCATAAGAAAAGGCATAAAACAGAGCAAAGAAGTTAATCTGTAAATATGCAGAGATGTAAGAAAGAAGTCTCATTCTTGTCATACATAATTCGTAGACAAAAGAGTTAACACCAGCAACATTAACGGACAAATGCAGTTTCTATTTTTTTTAAATTGAATTACTCTGTTACACCAACAAACTGGTAACTTATGAAGATATAAAAGCTACTTTTTATTGGTGGATGCATAACTCTAGTCCATATTTTGAGGTGGGATATAGTAAGGGGACGAGCATTTAAATTGTCTACTAACGATGAAGCAATTCAGATCCATACTTGCGTGTCCGTAGGAATCCACGACTTGGACGCTGTTAGAGTCTAGGCCAGGGAAGGAGCTAGCAGAGACACAAAAAGGTTCGTTCTTGGATATGAAGATGCAGAGATCTCCAATGTCATTAGTGTAAACCGCATTACCTTCATCGTCAAGCCTGAACACCATCAAACGTTCTGTTTTCATTCTGGCAACACCTTCGACGATCTCGGTGGTCTTCTCGTACAACTTAACCAAGAAAGTCTCACCGGTTGTTCTTGACTCCACCAAGTGTTCGCTCGTGCAGCACGAATCCAGAAGCTCTCGCGTGGCCGTCGGCAGCCTGGGAAGGTTTTGAAACCGCAAGCTCTGCAAGTTGGGGTTATTGCTGTCTTTGCAGGGATCCCATGAACCGATGAGGTGTCCTCCAGATCCGGGGATGCGAAACATGTCGTGTTTCTTGGAGAACATGACTCGGGAGGAGTAGAATCAGGGGTTTTCGATCCTGATGTTGGTCCACTCCGGTTTGTTCGCGGGTCTGCAAAAGCTGAGCTGCGGTCCCAAGAACTTGACAGCCACGACACAGTCCTCATCCTCTGGAGAAGGAGAGGACATGGCCACGTTGGTGACGATTTGGGTTTGGCAATGAGGCAGAGTCACAAGAGGAGGCAGAGGGATGCGTTTCGGGTCTATATCGGAGGCAACAGGGCTTAGATCGTCTTGGAGACGCAGGATCCCGTCGTCCCTGAGAGTAGCTACCCAGCCATGTGATGCCCCGATCGTCGTTACCAATTTTGTTTTACTAAGAAAATTGAAAACCAACTCCATAGGCGCTCTCTTATCCAAATAAGTGACTCTAGAATCTTGATTAGCATAGGAAACGGCGAGCCTTCCGAGACCCCATCCACAAGATTTAGCGCCGACGATGTAGCAAGGAGGAGTTTGCCGCAAGGAAGATGAGAAGTTGTTAGTGAGTAGAAGAAGATAGGATCTTCTTACCAACGCAGGTTCCCCAAGGCGGCGCTTCAAGAGAAGCAGAGACATGAGAAGAATGTTCTTTTATTATTTTTTTTTTTTTAAAATGAAGAATAGAACGTTCTTAATTAATTGTTCAAAAAAAAAAAAAAAAAAAAAAAAAACGTTCTTAATTAATGAAAAGCAAGAACTGCTTATATTCTCCACCTTGCCCACCAAGTTTTTAGTCAAAAAAGGTCAATGGGCTATATCTTTCTTTTTTGGTCCAATATGGATTGACCCATCTAAATATTAAAGAAGCCTTTTTGAACCAAAATGAAACATTTATAAAGAAAGAAGGCCCGATATTCGATATAAATACAGTAGATAACAAGAAGAGAAGGACGATGAACATATACACTATAATAATCTAACAGAAATATGCTACTACTAGTATAATACTATAATATACTTTGAGAATATACCTACGATGTGTGTAGATGGATATCCCTAATTACTGATAATTCTATTTATCAATTTGGCTTTCCTATTTTATCTTTTTCTCTCGCTAACATCGACTTTACTTATATTTTTGGAAGTATATAAGTAAACATTTTATCTTTTTCTCTCGCTAACATCGGCTTTACTTATATTTTTGGCAGTATATAAGTAAACATTTTATCTTTTTCTCTCGCTAACATCATTCTGGCTTTACTTCTTTTTTTGGAAGTACATAGTAAACATGTCCATCAACTCCCAATCCAATATGTACATAGTAGAACCATGAATTTATATGCAGCTGGGATTACCCTATAAAATTAAGACGGTTAATGGTTATGATAGGAAATTCCTGGCTTTACAGTATATCATTGTTTTATTTAAAACTTTATGGTGTAATTGATATTTATTTCGTTTTATATTTGCATTTGTAATGAAAAGAGCCTTTATGGTGTAACTGATGTATATTTTGTAAGACTTTGTGTTAATATTTAAAAAAAAATTGAAGAGAACTAGTCCACATTTTGTGCAAATTTTTATTATAGAATTGAGGTACAACAACATTTAATTCAACTGTTTATAATTTTTTGGTAATGAATTCATCAAACGAAAATTTTTTTTGATAAAAATTCTAATTCATTCTAACGACTTCTTCAGCCCTCCATTACAATAGTTTCCGTTTTTTCTTTCTTTCCTTCTCCTCGGATTTCAAACCAGCTGTTCAACGTAAGATACTTCTGAATCCAAAAGCTCTTCGTATCAACAAACCTCAAATCAATCTTTTTAACCATTCATCGATTCTGCAATCCAAAAAGGTGGTGTTAGTGAAGTGATCAACTTCTCAATCAGATTTGTTCAATGCGTTTGTGGATGGAGTCATAAGAATTTGTACTTGGAAACACATGATCAGCTGAAGTTTCAACACTAGAAGCATCTAGCCGAGCTGTCTGTCTTCTCTTCCTGTTATGTATGAGTATATTTAAGAAAAATCATTTTTCTACCTGTTTCTTTCATGTACTGTATGTGCAAAAAAAAATTTATAGAATTGAGGTACAACATACTGTAAGACATATAATTCAACTATTTATAACTTTTTGGTAATGGATTCATCAAGTGGAAAAGTTTCTAGTTTGATAGATGGTAGGTATAGCTTTTAGTTTTAACACAAAAGAATTTTATATTTCTACAATCCCAATGACGAAGAGATCTGGATGACTTTCGATCACACTCAAGGATTTGTATTGCCACTAGGGGGACATGTACTCCTTGGCTATGGGATACGTAATGGTGTTCGACTCATCGAGTGCCAGAACTCACAGGGCATCGAATGGAGAAATCAATGATTTATTTATGCTTCAAACAGGGGTGTCTACAAATTCTTTGAAATGGCTTGATCATTAATTGGAGTTTCAAAGTTTTTAGCAAGTTAAATGACTTAACCGTTTGTCTGTGTAATAAATATTATATGAGTTGTGCTTTTTGAACCTTATTTTATATGAGATGCTTCAGTGAACAGGTTACAATTGGCTTATGCTTGTCATTTTGATATTTTCTTATCTATAAATAAAGATATCCCTATATCTAATTCATCGTTATGCATAACAACAATGAGTAAGATGCAAAATGAGATTGTTCTATGTTGTTGTACTTCTCTACCTAAAGTCTAAGAACCAAATTCTTACATCTTTTGTTTTTAACTTAAAATGATGTAAACTGAGAAAATTATGCAATAAAAGTGAAGGAACAAATGCAATATCAAACGAAATACACTCTTATCTTGGTTGCAACTTCAAAACTTGAAAACCCATCTAAATATTAAAGGAAAGAAGCCTTTTTGAACCAAAATGAAAGATTTAAAAAAATAGAAGGCCCAATAATATTTCCCGACCCAATGAAGGTAGTTTCCACTTTTCACTCACTCTAGCCATCAGGGGTTTTCCATCTCGTCAACATCGGCGCTCTCTGGTTACGCCTCTCACAACCACACTAGGGCTTCTTCCCATTCCTTCTGGTTACGAGCTCCTCGAATTGTCGTCTCTGTTTGCTCCAGGTATCTCTCTCTCTCCCTCTGTCTCCCCGATTCTGATTCGATCGTAAAGCCTCTTTTTTTTTTTAATCTCGCGTTATGCTAATCTCTTTGAGGGGATCGATCTGATTACGTTTGAAACTTTTAATTCGTGATTCTGTAGCTTACATTTCTACGGCGACTTTCTGTGTGTTTATTGTTAATCAGTGTAGCTTGGTTTGAATCTGTTTTACTTAATCCAAAATTTCATGACTAAATTGAGATTCTTAATTTTCATACAAATATCGTCATTTTTCAGTTTTATTCTGGTTTGGATTGTTTCAAATTTTGTGAAAATTAAGATACTAAGCATATTTTGTCCAAAACGTGATATCCTCAAAAACTCCAATTTTGATCCATTTTGAGTTAATTTTTGTGTTACAAGCGAGAAGCTGCTTGCTTGCTTGGTTGTAATTTCCGGGGAAGTTGAGCTCATGTGATACATTTGATTTTTGAAACTAGTTTGATATAAATATTTGTTTTAAAATTGAAGGTGCTTAATTCAATTAGCTCTGTTACCAAATGGCTAAAAAATTATGGAGAAGTTTGGCTCATGTTTCTGTGATGTATCTTCAGTTTTTCTATATTTTAAATTTTGTGTGTGTTTGTGATGATTTCTTATGGTTACAGGGAGAGTCGTAGATATTATAAAGGATACAAAATAAAAAAAAAGGATGAGTGGTTTTAGAGCTTTCAAAGCACAAGTGCCCATTGAATGGAGCCAGAACTTGTACATAACCTTAGTGAGAGGTCTCCCTGGAACCAGGAAGCTTCACAGGCGAACCCTTGAGGCTATGGGACTTCGCAGATGCCACCGCACTGTTTTGCACTCAAACAATTCATCCATCAGAGGAATGATTCAACAGGTTTCTATTACGTTTTCTTCACTTCCTCAGCTGTTGTCATTTGTCATATTCCTCTCTCAAGCTTGAGATTTGACTTAAAATGTGATATATTTTCAATGATGCCCTCTGCGCAGGTTAAAAGGATGGTGGTCGTTGAAACAGAGGAGATGTACAAAGCTCGCAAAGAAGCAGAAGCCAACCACAAAGCTCTCCGCCCTCCACTTGTTGTCAGTCATTCAATCCCTGTAGCTGATTCATCCAACATGTCTTGAGTATTTCACGAGATGGTAAGCTCTTCAACATACCGTCCCTTCGATAAGATCCTCTTGCATTTGAAATCTCGTTAGTTTAAGATCCCGTTAAGGTGTCAGGGGAAGTCATAAGTAATCTATTGCATCTCTCTTGTGTTTCTCAGTGAATCTAGTGCCCTCTCTCTTTTGTTTTTGTATACACTGGATCGTTGATGTTATTTTGTTAATGCCATCGGTTTGGTTACTTTTTGTGTGTTTAATGATTTTCAAAGGAGAAATTTGGTTCTTTTTTAGTCTCAAATTGGTTTTGTAAGAGTGAATTAGTTACCGTCATGATTTGCGGTTGACAATTCTAAAGTGTTACCTTGCAGTTTAATTAATGAATGTATAATCGCGATAAAGATAGATGCCGAAAATGTCTCGTAATATTATTTTTGTTATAGAAAACAACCGTTACATAATATCTTATGACAAAAGTAAAGTGTATACAAGAATCAAAATTTCGAAGAGATATACAAAAACCTTTAAAACTAAGAATCCAAAGATGCATCAATCATTCAACATCCGTAGGCGTGACCCAAAACATCTCACAGTTCCAAGATCTTGGCTGGTACAGCTTCTTGATTTGCTTACTGTCCCATTCAAAGACGCTTAGATTCGGCGACCCTGATCCTACACTCGCTTCGTTTCCATCGACGAAGTAAACGGAATTGTCTTTGATGAATCCTCTACTTCCGGTCTCACCTGCCAAGACCGCTATACATCCACCTTGAGGGCTCAAGAACAAAGCTTTGCCTCTCAAGCTTCTCACCACTGTCCACTCTTTCGTCTCTGGACTGAATTCGTAAATCTCGAAAAAGACTGTGAAGTCACAATCGTCGTTAAGCTCTAGCTTCTTTAGAACCACCCAAAGTTTTCCGAAATCCGACTCTGCAAAGTATTTCTTGCAAGGGTCGTACCGGAACGGCGAGGCGCTGCATAAAGGAACAGCTTTCGGATTATTAGGGTTAAGTTCACACTGATATATCTCTCCTATTCTGTCGATGGCGAAGAAGACGCCATTGCAGAACACAATGTCGTCAACAGAAGAAGCAACGTGATCAGAGTCCAGATCCGTCCATTGTTCGTCTCCTCGTCTGCAGAAGGCTAGTTTTCCATCGGTGTTGTAGATCACGACCACAACCCAATCAGGGTCTAATAAACTTGTCGAAGAGACTGCTTTTTTTACAAAGTTCTTCAGGGTTTGGGAGTCTTGAAAGATGGCTTGGGATTGAAGCAACCGCTGAGCATCCTCAAATGATATCAATGGTGGCAGAGAAACAACTGTGTTAGTAAACGGGTTTTGTAAATTTACCTGAAAAGGAAAAGAAACATTGACAGTTAACAAAAACCCTCGCGTGCCTCCGCAAACCCATCTCTGATTATTCCCCAAATTTCTCGGAGACAAAATCCTAAACTGATCAGAGAATTGAGTTTCTTCATCGGCAGAGAGGTGAGAAAGAGAAGAAACAAAGAGAGAAGGAACGAACTTGCGAGTGTACACAGCGGAAGAAGAATATCTCCAGGAAGCACAGACGGTGGCACAATTAAGGATGTCTCCGGCATCGTCTAGGTTGTTGAAAACAACGTCTATAAGCTCCGGGAGTAAATCCGACCAGGACGAAGAATAAGAACAAGAAGATACAGCCATTATTAAGAATACAGAGCGAAAGCGATAAAATCTTGTAAAATGGGAAGAAAGTTCTTATAAAGCCACGAGAAAACTTGGGCTCCACGTAAACGTGTGGTGCAAGTCTTATCAATCACCGAACTTCGAGAAAGTCGGCTTTTAGTTTAAGCTACTACTACTTCTATAATCGATCAAATTTTCTGAAAAAAACATACACAAGGCACACTAGAGCCCATTAATATTATAGGATCCAATAACAATATCAGAGTCTTATCGAACACTGTCACATTTATCACAAGATTCTTATCGAAAACCATAGAAACACAACCTAAACTAAAAAGCAGAACAGGTTCAGGCCAGTTGCTGCAACACCACCACCGGTCTGATGGAGCATTGCATCGATCTCATCGCCATCTTCCATATCAAGCTGTAAAAATTACAGATTCTTTAGTTTGAGGAAACGAAACAATTCCAAAAAAACGGAAAAATTGTAAAAAGAAAATGGGTTTTAAGAATAAGAGAGATTGATAGACCTCATCAGGAGTCTGTTCACCACGGAGACGACGGCCATCGAACAAGAAAGCGATCGAGTTGAAATCCACAGATTGACGATCGCAGTAAGCGTTCATCAGCTTCTTAAGCTGAGTGCTCCTCTTGATCCTAAAGAAGACCTCGTTTCCATCCTAAGTTTCACCAATCAAGTAAGCAAAAGACTAATGATTCTTACTTCAGATCATAGCCAAACCAAGCACCCAATTTCGGAAAATGCCTAACAATTTATACAATTTGCATAGCAACGAAAAGCGTTCATGGAAACGAATGCTCAATTCTCAAACGAAAAAGCTTTCATTTAACTTCCAAATATATAAATTTGCATAAACACAGCACTACAGCGATTTAATTGACAGTCAACAGATACAGACAGTTATTCATGAACATGTAAAAACGATATCTCCATGATACATACATGATATACACCCATACAAAATTTTGCTATGTACCAACAAGTTCGTGATTGCAAAACATCACAATTCTTAGAGAAATTTCTATATTGTTTAAAATTTTTGTATTTAAGCTCGAATCTACATATACAACACTTAATTGCGAGACAAACGCAAAAACCCTAGAGAAAGCAAACGTAATTGCACACAATCGACGCAAACAGGTAAAGATCTTCGGAATTTTTTTTTTAAGGAATAGAGAAGAAGGAGAAAAATAAGACAGAGACGAAACCTGGCCCTTGACCTTCAGATTGATGTGAGCTCCTCCTTGGTCTCCGGGCTTCTTGTCTTCTTCCTGAGTAGCAGACATCTTCCTTTAGTTAGATTCTCTGTCCGGCGACGAAATCAAAAACTCCGATCTGCGAGAAAGACGAAGCCCTTGGAGAGAGAGAGATTCGCGCGATTGCAGATTTGAGGATTTGAGAGAGAGACTCGAAGAGAATAAAAAGACTGAAAACCACTTGGTCGCATCTGATTCCTGTGGTGTATATTTAACGGTTGACAATCATTGGGTCGCTTATCATCCAACGGCTGGGCGAACATAGAATCTGTACCTAAAAGCCTGGCGTTTAAATCCAGCATTCTTAATGGGCTATTATTTTATATCAAATGGGCTCACATGTGGGCGAGCTCAGGCGTCGATTGTGTATGATCAAATGGGCTCAAATAGTACCGTAGTATTTTTTTTAAATACATAAAACTACAATTATTGTGTACGGATAAACTACAAATTTGTAAAATACCATATTTATATTTTAGTTTAAAAATTATGAGTGCCGTAGTCTAAAACTTCGAAAATATCAGAAATCATCATATTTGGCAAAGATACTAAAATTTTATGAAGAATGCTAAGTGGTTTAGCAACACTGGAACAATTACTAAACTGATAAAACACCCTCTTATAACCTAAAGTTTATGTTATAAAACAAAATTATCAAGGTTGTGATATTTCTAGAACTATGTTTTGGGAAACTTGTTGTAGTTGTAGATGTACGCAAGATAATTAAATAATTATGTACGTCGTAGTACGTGTGTGAATGGTTAGACTATGTTTTCGTGAATCGTGACGGCTATTATTTCGGCCCGACACTATATAATATAGATATATCGAGTTATTTTATTAAGATAATAGCATTTGTTTTATATTAATATAATAGCATTTTTATCATAGCGTAAACATCAACAACAAGCAGCTAACATTCCTATCTAAAACTCAACTTGGTGGACAGACAGCATTCAAGCAACCTACCACATTGAATTCTTTTTCTTGGTTGATAAGAAAATTACAATGGTTTTGTGTATGTACGTGTATTGGTATAAAACTACTATTAGTTAACGTTTATATATAGAATAGGGCCATAATAGTTAGAAATAAGTCAATCTGAAAGTGACGCCTCTATTTATTAACAACATAATGTTTCATAGACATTGTCTTTCATTTTAATTTCGTGTAAACGAGATCTTACCGACTGCAAGCCTGAACGAAACATATCGTACGATGTCGACAACCCCCATATATATAAACATATATAGTAAAATAAAAGTTACTTTCATAATCCCAAAATTATATTGTTGTGTATGTATATCAGTATACGTAAACCAGCATACAAACATAAAAACATATAATCGTAAAAAAAGACTACTTACATATGATGTTTGATTTGTTTTTATTATTTAGATCTCAAACACCTGATTATTTACGAAGGCCAAGCTAATCTGGAATATCTAGTAGTTACTAGTTACCATGGGTACTGGCTATTGAGAATATGTGCCTAAAGTTGGATCAGTCTTAAAACTATAAATAAAATTATAATAGTAACTATGGATACGATCTTTTGAGTTTTCAAATTTAGTTTTAGACACAGTATGATCAGTTTGCAAACCATATATAAACAAGAAACATTATTACAAAAACGAAAAGATAGTTACACTTAAATCATAGTAGATTAAAATGTCAAAATTACCGGTTTTCCCTAAAATTTAAATCGCATATTTGACGTAGTAATTCTATTAATTTTAGTCGTAAATGCCATACAGGATTAATACAAGCTAGCAGTAGTGTTCAACTTGTATAAGTACAACTAAACTATAGAAAATATTGTTTTTTCCTTGGACGGGCAACAAATATATGGACCATTTAGGTTTGAGTCATTAGTATTGAAAATTATTTGAGGTGTTTGCTTAGCGAACTTACAAAGTTCAATTTGTTAGTCACCAAAAATAACGCGTTCATTAGCCCAAGTTGCTAAATCTAATACTCCAAGGATTTCTATATGTGATTTAAATTAAGTCATTCGATTTCTAAACTTATTGAAATTGAAATATATCTAACCATTATTATTATATTAGTACACCTCTAATACATCCAAAAGAGTAAAAAAGGAGGGGAATATTTGGGAATTCTCTAATAATGACTTGACGTAGGAAAAAGAGACGTTGGAAATCAGAGCTATAACGTTCAAAATTTGGAAGATAGAATAGAAGAAACTAATGTCACATGGACATGGCCCCATTGTAGATTCTTCATTTCACGACGAGACCAAATTTACATCAACATGGATTGATTATATTATTATAGGGCATCATATTGTTTATCAAATAATTATAGGTAAATAAGTTAACGCATCACATCACCGATTAATATTATTTGTCACTTCTCCGACCAGCTTTCGTCGCCTATATCATTCTAACTTTAACGGATATGTTAGCTGTTTTCAACAAGTTAACGCTGCAGTCATATATCAATTTCACATAATGGTTAATTTGCCTCAATGACCGATAATTAGTGAACATATTGACTGTGGTGTGTAGCTTAACGGTTGTAATGATCGTTCATTAACGCTGCAGTCATATATCATTACTAAATTCAAAATTATTTTAATAAGTAAATATAACTAGTGATCTGATTATTTCCTTGGCAGACATCTTATGTGATCTAACGTGATTAAAGAACGATTACAATTCGGTTTCGTAAAACAATTCATAACGTTAGGAACACCCCCCAAAAAAGTATAAAAAGCTGCAGTAAAATCGATAAATAACTTAAAAATTAAATGCTAATTTTGGGACGTACCCACCAATCTGACAACATTTGGTACAGTCTCCAATCAGTACGATTGAAACGGTCAAATTTGAAATTAAAAATACAATATAATTAATATTTCCTTTCACACGTCATCGAGTGGAAGGAGTTGGAAAATTTTAACATCACACTGTTACAGTTAAAAAATAAAAATAAAAAGTCATCCTCAATATCTCAAGTAGGTCCCACCCACTCCCTCCACCTCCCTCTTCTTTCTACTATATAAACAACAGCTTTAGCTCCTCCGAAACACAAACATTTCTCAATCTCTGCAACAATGGCTCTCTTCGTTCTATCTCTCCTCTTACTCTCTTCCTTCTCAGCCATTCCGTTCACAAGCGCAGGTTAAATCTTCATCATCTCTCTTCGCTACTGTATATTCCGAGTTTCGCATATAATTGACGTATTTCGTTTCTTTTGTTTTTGTTTCCTTTACAGATTCTGGAATGATCGGAATAAATTACGGCAGGATTGCAAACAATCTCCCGGCACCGGAGAAGGTGGTTGAGCTTCTGAAATCCCAAGGAATCAATCGCGTCAAGCTTTACGACACTGACAAATCCGTACTAACCGCGCTCGCCAACTCCGGCATCAAGGTGGTTGTCTCGCTCCCAAACGAGAATCTCGCCGCCGCCGCCGCAGATCAGAGCTACACCGACAATTGGGTTCAGGAAAACGTAAAGAAATACATGCCGGCGACTGATATCGAGGCGATCGCCGTCGGCAACGAAGTGTTCGTGGATCCGAGGAACACGACCACGTATCTCGTTCCGGCAATGAAGAATGTTCAGAGCTCTCTTGTTAAGTTCAATCTCGACAAATCCATTAAGATCTCCTCGCCGATTGCTCTGAGCGCACTGGCGAGTTCGTATCCACCGTCGGCGGGTTCTTTTAAACCGGATTTAATTGAACCGGTGATCAAACCGATGTTGGATCTCCTTAGCAAAACCTCGTCGCATCTCATGGTGAATGCTTACCCGTTCTTCGCCTACGCAGCCAACGCCGATAAGATCTCGTTGGATTACGCTCTGTTTAAAGAGAACGCCGGAAATGTAGATTCCGGCAACGGCTTGAAGTACACCAATCTCCTAGACGCGCAAATCGACGCCGTTTTCGCAGCCATGGCCGCCGTGGGATTCAACGACGTCAAACTCGTGGTGACGGAGACGGGTTGGCCTTCTGCCGGAGACGAGAACGAAATCGGTGCCGGTTCGGCTAACGCGGCGGCGTATAACGGTGGATTAGTGAAGAGAGTGTTAACGGGAAACGGAACGCCGTTAAAGCCGAAGGAGCCACTTGACGTCTATCTGTTCGCTCTGTTCAACGAGAACCAGAAAACGGGGCCCACATCTGAGAGAAACTACGGGTTGTTTTACCCGAACGAGAACAAAGTGTACGACGTTCCGTTCTCCGTCAAGTCAGCGCCGGTCAGCGATAGCAAAGAGAAGGTTCCGGTGAAGACGCCGTCGCACGTGGGACAGACGTGGTGCGTGGCGAACGGGGGAACGACGAAGGAGAAGCTTCAGGAAGCCCTCGACTACGCTTGCGGCGAAGGAGGCGCTGATTGCCGTCCGATTCAACAGGGTGCCACGTGTTACGATCCTGAATCGTTAGAGGCCCACGCTTCTTACGCGTTCAACAGTTACTATCAGAAGAACGCACGTGGTGTTGGCACGTGTGATTTTGGTGGTGCAGCGTACGTAGTCTCGCAACCTCCGAGTACGTACTCTATCCTTTTCTCTCTCGAAAAATTATCATTTAATTTTCTAATTATTTATTTTACGTATATAGTAGTTTTAAGTAATTTTTTCCCTCGAAATTGTTGAGAGAAATTGGAAAAGTTAGTTGGAAGATGGTTTGATAGTAAATATGGATGTTGGGATAGTTCAACAACATATGCCATATTTTGATAAATATTTACGTGTAAGGCGTGTAAGTTTTTTTTTTTTGAAAATAATATTTACGTGTAAGTTTCCTGATATTAATTTGTTTTTTTCCTCTTTTTTTGTGTTTCTATAGAGTACGGGAAATGCGAGTTTCCAACGACAGAGCATTGAAAGGGAAATGGAGGAGAAGATCGGGCCGATTTATTTAGTAGCATTTTTCTCATTATTTAATTAATACATTGTTATGTCATTCTCGAGTATATGATTATTTATATGCGTAGATTCGTTTTCACCATTGTATATTTGGTTGTTTCGTCGATTAATATAGTCTCAGTATTTCTTTTTCTTAATTTAAAACATTTACTATGTTTACACATGGAATCAAATCTCATACTTACACCAATTGCGTGCCATTTAATTTATCACGTTAAATAAAAATGACTAAATTAATCCTCTATCTCTCCATCCTCGAATATATGTGTTCGTTGGATGTCTATCGTTCATCTTACAGTTACAGCGACATCTACATAAAAAGTACGTATAGTTTCTTCAATTTATTAATCTTAATCTATATGGATAAATGACATATACAAAGACGTTGACAAATGTTATCTTGCGGAAAAGATGAGTTAATTATATACATTCAGAGACAAATTAGTCATATGAGTTAAAGACCTAAGTAATAATCAAAAAGACCTAAGTAATAATCAAAAATAATCTGTGTATGTCCATTAATCACATAAACTCATCTTCTAAAGCACATGGTTATATTATGGCATACATCATACATATATGACAATCTCCATTTTAATGCACGCCTTCATGTTCCTTTAGACGTTTTGATAGGCAAACAATTATCATCACCAGTTTCCTAATACGATTTGTGTTCAGTTTCAATTTTTTTGTGTGTGTCAAATTCGTACATGACAAGCTCTCTTCAACTATCTATCATCAACTTCTCATCCAACCAATTGATTGATCTCTTGAAACTTATAATTTCTGATATACATATAGATAACTGAACCAAAAAAATAAAATCGTCCAACTCTCGCACCAAAAAAATGACTACACAAAGCTCAATCTCAAGAATTTGCTTATAACACTTACGCGTTTAACACTTACACAGTTACACTCACACCTCATCCGACATCATATGGGATCAGCTCAAGATAATCTCCCAAAGGTAAGTACATACTAAATAGTAACAGTGGCAAGGGCCTATGGATCAGGAAGATACTTTGGGCCCGGATCCGGATTTAAAACTGGATCCAGTTATTCTGGATTACCGGGTTTGAGCATTTGCGTCAATCCTAAGCGGCCGAAGCCTCACAGCTCTGTTTAAAAACCCTTGGCCTCTCTATCTCTCTCGCCGTCTTGCTCTTAATCTTTTCGATCCCTACCGATTCTCCCGTTTCATCAATGGTAAAACATATCTCCTCCGTCTTGCTTTGATTTTTGCTTCTCGCTTTCCTCTACAGATCCTATTTCGATCCATAGGAGGTTACAATTTCTTCGATCTCGCGTGATCTGTTGATTTTTATTCTCAGGCTTTACCTAACCAGCAAACTGTCGAGTACCCTAGCTTCAAGCTCGTCATCGTTGGCGATGGAGGCACAGGTACCAAATCCTAGCTTCAACAATCTTCATGTTTAGGAATACAAATATACAGAGGATTAGTTCAGTTTCTGAAACGCGATTTTAGAGTTTGATGAGTCGATGTGTCTGCGTAAGTAGTACGCTTGATTATTTATGAAAAGCTTGCAGCTCAAATCGATTTTAGAGTCTGATTGCTGCTTCGAATTAGGTTGTCAGCCTCTAGAGCTTGATTTTGTTACTTATCCATGCTTATACTATGTTTGTGATATACTTGTGATCTCGATCTAAATCTTGCAAGTTCAATTATGAGTTTTTTTTTTGTGATGGTTGAATGCATTCTTGTTTATGTTGTTTAACAATCTGATTATGTGCACAGGAAAAACCACGTTTGTAAAGAGACATCTTACTGGAGAGTTTGAGAAGAAGTATGAACGTAAGTATATGCAAAGATTGACACATAGAGTAACCTTTATTCACGAGTCCACCGATTCTGATGCTTTCTTGTTGTTTTGTTTTGCAGCCACAATTGGTGTTGAGGTTCACCCTCTAGATTTCTTCACTAACTGTGGCAAGATCCGGTTTTACTGCTGGGATACTGCTGGACAAGAGAAATTTGGTGGGCTCAGGGATGGATACTAGTAAGTTAATTGCTTATTTATGATTGTGTAGCTTGATAAGATACTTTTTACAAAATCCAATTGAGTGTAGGAGAGCTATTATGATATTGATCGATTTGATTCTCCTGATGCAATTAGTTTACTATTACACTGCATTGGCCATGATACTGAAAGTGTGTTCTTGTTTCTGTTGCAGCATCCATGGACAATGTGCTGTCATCATGTTTGATGTCACAGCACGTCTGACATACAAGAACGTTCCAACATGGCACCGTGATCTTTGCAGGTATGATGAATACACAGAAAGCTAGAACTTACGCTGTATGTGGCAAATTGCTAAAACGAAAAAATGTTAATGTCTGTGAATTGTCATGTGGCAGGGTCTGCGAAAACATCCCGATTGTTCTCTGTGGGAATAAAGTTGATGTGAAGAACAGGCAAGTGAAGGCCAAGCAGGTGACATTCCACAGGAAGAAGAATCTCCAGTACTACGAGATATCTGCCAAGAGCAACTACAATTTCGAGAAGCCCTTCTTGTACCTCGCTAGAAAACTCGCCGGGTAAACAACAATATTCAATTCAAGCCTCATTAGTAATATTACGAAATACCTTTAAACAAAGATGATTAACGTTTGCTTTTGCTTGTGGCAGTGACCCTAACCTTCACTTTGTGGAATCACCTGCACTTGCTCCCCCAGAAGTCCAGATCGACATGGCTGTTCAACAGCAGTAAGCTTTCTAAACTCGTTTTGTCGTCTATAAGTTTTGCTGCTTGGTTTTGTTTTCGTCAGCTTAAAGATTTTATAAAATTGTAGGCATGAGGCAGAGCTCTTAGTCGCAGCAACTCAGCCACTCCCTGATGACGATGATGACACCTTTGAGTAGAGAGAGACAGAGATTCGCCTGCACTAAGTGATTCCGTTGAAAGAGAGAGATCCGCTCTTATGTGATTCCGTCACAAAGTATTATCATTTCTTTTTTTCTTTTTGATGGTACTATTTTTATTTGTGTTTTGTGTTCAAAATATGATGTTTAAAGTCATGGTTTGCTTTTACCGGTTGAACCGATGGCACTAGTAATTTCTGTTTTGAGTTCTTTTAGTTGTCGTCGCTATGAAAAACCAGTTTGATCATAAGCCAAAAGTTCTTATAAATTACCATGTAAACAAAATTTCTATCTCCATAGATAATCTATATGTTAATCGCTTAAAAAGAAGAGAAGAAGAACCATTTTTGGAGACAAGTAAATGAAATTAGAACAACTTGCGTCAGTAGTATCAAAGATTAGTCATAAACAATTCACCAAACAATCTCATTTTGAACTGTGGAGCCATTAATTTCCACGATTTCATTTTGGTTCATTTGGGAACTGCAGCGTAATAAGAGGAAGAATACCAAAACGCTCTTGAACACCACCTTTTTTTTTCTTCTTGGAGTTCAAAAATTTGGTTTTATAAACCATACGGTAAGGGTAATTTCGTAAATTCAAGTAAACCATCATAATCCCCCCTAACCAATTTTACTTCCTCCCCAAGAACATTTTGCCCAATTCCTCTCCTTCCATTGACGATTTCGACGACATAAAGGAAGCTTTTCTCTGAATAAAGTTTCGATTCTGTTTCTTCTTTGATTTATTTGCGCTCCTTCCTCCGTCATGTTGGTGTCTAGGGTTTTATCGAGAATTTCTCGCACCGCGGGCTTACGCTCTTCTCTCTCCTCCGCCGCTACGCCGACGAAGAATCAGATTATTCCGGTTTTTTCCGGCCGATTTCACTCCCTCGTCGACGGAACTCCCAGTAAGGTTAGCTTTTCAGCTGATTTCGGTTTTATGATTTTCCTTGGTGGGTTTTGCTAGGGTTTAAGGGTTCTGTTCGAATGAATGTCAACTCCGTGTCTTCGTTTGGAAATTTGACGTCGTTATTACAGTGTCCCGGTTTAGGTGTTAGATGTGTGAATGTAAATGTTTTGATTGCTCCTTTATATGAGCTTGTTTTGAGGTTATTTGGATGCAAATTGGTTTGTGGCAATTTCTGTGAATCTTCAACCTGAGAAGAGAACCATGAACTTTCTTATTCAGTGTGTCGCTCATCCTAAGATTTTCGAACAGTGATTTTACTCGATTTGGATCCGTTTAATATTCGCAGCTTGTCGCAGCTCCCGTTTCGCTCCTAAACCATGCGACTCTAGATTGGAATGTCCTTCAAAGGTTCAGTTTTTTTTCCTCTTCCTCAGCTGAATCGAAGGAAAACGAGAGTGGCACCGAGGTCCCAAAGACCAGCGAAGCTTCTGAGGATGCGGAGGCGGTGAAAGCTACAGGTGAGGTCAAAAGAATCAGATATTGACTCAGGATAATTGTGTCTACTGTCTAATTCTGCAGAAAGAAGTTTGATTTGATAGGTTACTTAACGAATTGCGTTTTCTTAATATCTTGATTCAGAGACTGATTTTGAGGATTTGTCGAGGGACGATTTGGTGAAGCTTGTGGCCGAGAAGGAAGATCTTGTCAAGGTTCAGCAGGAAGACATAAAGGAAATGCAAGATAAGGTTCTACGCACGTATGCAGAGATGGAGAATCTAATGGACAGGACAAAACGCAATGCTGAAAACGCCAAAAAGTTCGCCATACAGGTTTACTTTCTCCGCTAATCCTTGTCTCTTCTTCGTCATGAATTAGCTTGTTTTGCTTCATATACAATCTAGTTCTGAATGCATTTGTTGAAAATTGTTTCTGCTGCAGAACTTTGCAACAAGCCTGTTGGATGTGGCGGATAATCTTGGAAGAGCTTCTTCAGTAGTCAAAGAGAGTTTTTCAAAGATCGACACTTCGAAAGATACGGCTGGTGCTGCTCCACTGTTGAAAAACCTTTTAGAAGGAGTGGAGATGACTGAGAAACAATTAGCAGTGGTACAAAAAAAACGTCCGTTATATTTGTTCATTGTGGTAAACAAAAGATAAGATGAGACTGGTTCTGAGAAAGGCAAGTTTATCTCTAAAACTGCAGGTATTTAAGAAATCTGGTTTGGTGAAAGAAGATCCTTTGAATGAACCGTTTGATCCAAACAGACATAACGCAGTGTTCCAAGTCCCAGATGCTTCCAAGCCAGAAGGCACAATTGCTCACGTCCTAAAGGTACTCTAAACTATAAAAAACGATCGCTCCCTTTCTTTCTTTGATGACTCTCCACACGATATCATGGACTCTCTTTGCATAATTTGCAAACCTTTTGGTAATGGTTTGCTTCCATATCTGCAGTCTGGATACACGTTGTTTGATCGAGTTATAAGACCAGCTCAGGTTGGAGTTACTTGCGCGGTGGAGAAAGAGTCTGAAGCTTGAGAAACTCAAACAACGAGAGAGTTAAGCTTTGTTTTAACACATCTTGCCGAGTTTTTTTGTATTTTTAGTTATTAGTTCTCTCTATCTCTCATCTTGGCATATTCATTGGATGAACAATCACATAAAGTAGCTTTGACATTTGCTGCACCCCAGGGAAGCCCTGGTACTGTAACATTTTTCACAGTATTTTCATTATAAAAATGGAACATCAAATTTATACGGATTTGATTCTGAATTTCTCATGGACACAAGTTCTTTGGTCATACTCATACATATATAGCTTCTTCTAACTAGAGAGTAGAAACAGTACATACAGATCCAGAAACGCCTACAAATAAAAGTTACATTATGAGACATCATAGACAGCTACAACAATACCAAATCTTGAGACTTTTATTGTTGCTTCATCCCAATTTCATACAAATCTCTTCATTCTTCAGTCACTTCAGAATTCAGACACAGTCCCAGTTTCAAATGACCAGTTTTTGCTTCCTGCAGAGGGAAGTTAAAACACAAGTATGAACAAGTAAATATGAACAAACCTCGACACCTTCTTTTAATTTGCTGATTTCGAAGCTTTACCTTAGTTTGGTATGTGTCTGTCATGTTCATATCCAGCTCAACAGCTTTAGGCAATGGAGATTCAGTGTCGAATTCGTCAGTCTCTTCCGCTATAGACTCAATTTCAGAATCCTTAGTAGCCACTTTTTCTCTATGCTCAAGCATCGCAATCTGCGAAATCAAAAGGAATCATTCACACTAACCCCAACACAACAAAACAAAAAAAAGAAACCCTAAATAGATTTCCCGATTTGGGAAATAAACGTACCGGAGCGTATCTGAATCTTCGCTTACGCGGCTCTTCCGTCTCACCGGAACCGTTAGCTTCGGAGGCAGTAACCGTTGCCGAGGAAAGTGGGGTCCACTTATGGAGAAGCAGATGGTGTGGAGAATTGCCGCTGTTACTGTTGTTGTTGCGACCGTTGGATTTAGAAGCTCGGAAAACGCCGACGGATGAGGTTGAGACACGTACCCACTTCTTCTTCCACTTCCTTACACGGCCACTGAAAACCGCCGTCGCCGCCGGACCACTGTATCTCGATGACGTCCGGCTCAATCTCGACCCTACACCTTCCATCTCCGCAAATTCTCTCTCTCTCTTTCAGTGTCACTTGTCGGAAAAAAATAGTTACTTTAACTAAAGCCTAAAGGATATCGGTTTATTTATTGCTCCAAAACGCAGCGTTTTAAAGCGACACAGTTTGAAAACGCAGCGTTTAAGAGATTTATGTAAAATCACACACAGCTTTATCTTCTCCAAGAAGTGGCGCTTCAAAAGAGCTCAGTTCTTCTTCAAGCTAAGGAGAGCGAAAAATGGAGCTCTGCGTTATCAGCTCAACGACGACGATTAATCCGTTTCACTCATGTTTAACCCGAAGTCTTGGTTCTCGTCTCTTCCAATCCAATGGTTTGTTCCTCTCTCGTGGTTCTGTGTTGCGCTTCGACGGGAGGCTGAAGAAACCAATCAAGCCCTTGGAGATATCTTGTGCCTCCAAGAAGTTTGGCGGCGGTGGAGTACGGCAATTAGAGGCTTCTCCGGCGGTTGAAGAAAGCGTAAAGGAAGACCGGCTTCCCGCTGATCTCCAGGTCACTGAGACTAAAGCGCCGAATTCAAGTGTAAGAGACTTCAAAGCTTTTGTGTCTATTCGTTGGAATATGTGTGGCATTGAGTTTGATCTGAATCTTCTGTTCAATTTTTAGGTAAAACTGAGTGTGGAGGTTCCAGCAATTGTCTGTGAAGATTGTTACCAAAGAGTCCTAACCGAGTTCATGAAGCTCTCAAAGGTAAATTGCATTTCATCTTTTAAATCAAAGGTTGTAATATCACAATGTAGAAACTATAACTCAAACCTGTTCCATGTAATGATATGCTTGTTGTTTGATTGGGGTTTTACTTTAGGTTCCTGGATTCCGTCCTAAAACGAGAGTTCCAGAGAATATCATTGTTGGTTTCGTTGGGAGGCAGTACGTTCTGAGAGCAACTGTTGAATCTATCTTGAAGAGAACACTTCCTCACGCCATGGAGTCGGTAAAATTTTCTGAGTGCTTATTATATAGTTTGATTTTGCGTAGTCCTGTGATGTATCTCAATTTGGCGTTTGTTTGTCTTGGAACGTTTTTTTCATATAAAATTTTGGCTGTGTAGGTCACTGGAAAGGCTTTAAAAGACTCGATACAGATAATAAGCAGCTTTCCAGATATGGAGAAGGCATATTCTCAACTCAAGACTCTTAGGTGTGTTTTTGTTTTAATCTTCTTCACATATGAAATAATCTGAACAAGAGCTCAGGAATGCTTGCTTACTTCTTGCTAACTAACTTTGCATGTTTTCTGATTTTCTCAGTTATGAGGTGGTCGTTGATGTCGTGCCTGAACTGAAATGGAATCCTGAGAATGGGTATAAAGATATGAAGGTCGTTGTAGAGTTAGGCGACGAGATAGACGCAAAGAAAGCTTGTGAAAGACAGCTAAGACAGAAATACAAGTCTCTTGGTGCATTGAAGATTGTAACTGAGCGAGGGCTACAGGTACCCTGAATGCATAACTTCCCATGTCCTTGTATCGTTGTTGTAATGTAATCTGCTGTTCGTTTAGCTTAGTAGGATAAAGATGTAAGCTTTTTCTTATTGTTTACTTGGTTCTGAATTGTCAACGCTGCAAAGATGATATAGCTACTTGAAAAATCTCACTCGTTGTATCCTAAAACCGTGCAGGTGGGTGATTTTGCTGTCATTGATATATCTGCTACAACTGTTGATGAGGATGGAACAACGGGTCAAGCGATTCCAGATGCTGAAAGCAAAGGTTTTAGAACTGTTATCTTTTACTCCATTGAAATCATCCTTTTTGTTTTGCAAATGAAATTGCTGAGATGTGTGGTTGTGTGTACAGGTTTTCATTTTGACACAGAGGAAGGGAATAGGTTACTTCCTGGATTCCTTGATTCGATCTTGGGAATACGAGTAGGCGAATCAAAGTCATTCGCGCTTGTGTTTCCTGAATCATGGAAGCAAGAAAACCTCCGTGGCCAACGTGCTCAGTTCACTGTGAGTTTTTCTGCATATACAAGACATGAAGAGAAAGATATTGATAAAGAGATCATACTTGGATAAGCTAATCATGTCTGTTGTCTTCAGGTCGACTGCAAGGAACTATTCTACAGAGATTTACCAACATTAGATGATTCCCTTGCTGATAAATTGCTCCCTGGATGCACCACTTTGAAGGAGGTAATGAACACATGGAGTTGATTTTTTTTCAACAAGTTATACAAGAATAGGTTGTGTTCTCTCACTGTAATTCTCTAATGAAACAAGTAAACAGGTTGAAGAAACTTTGATTAAAAGATGCCAAGAGATGGAGGAGGAAGCCAAGGAGCAAGCAACAGACAACGCCATCCTTGAGCAGATTCGAAAGGTCATTTCATTTAATTTCATAAAACATTTGAAGCAGTAAACATCTTTGATCTGCGTGATCCTCAAAATCATTGTCCTTTGCTTTTTTATTTCTTGCGTTGTTTCAGATGGTTGAAGTAGAGATTCCTCAATCTTTGTTTGAGGAACAAGGAAGACAGTTTTATGGAGCTAGGCTTCTAGAGATTCAGGCAAGCGTTTTGAACTTCTCCCTCTTTCTATTTTACTTTCACTCAGATTCTTAATGCTCAATGACATGGTGGTATAGGGGAATATGAAGCTCACTGAAGAACAATTGGCTTCTCTTTCAAGTCAAAAAGCAGTAAACGAGTTTCTAGAAACTCAAAGAGAGAGCATTACCAACATAATCAAGCAGAATTTGGCTGTTGGTGATATCTTCAAGCGCGAAAACTTGGAGGTATTTTTGTATTATAAAGCTTATTACTCTTGTCTCTGAGAGAGAAACAAAACAAAAGTTAGTAACAAAACATTCTTACAAAAAAACTTGAATGCAGTTCTCGACAGATGAACTACTTAAAGAGGTCGAGAACTCGATCACAGAATTCAAGAAACACAAACAAGAGTATGACGAGGAACGTGTGAAAGATCAGGTTAGTTCTCTCGTGAATCTGAGTATTATCATTTTCTTGGAACGCTAAGATAACTGAAAGAGAGAAATTTTTTCTTGAATTGGTGGTCTAGGTACAAGAGATTTTAGAAGGAGCAAAAGTGCTAGAATGGTTGAAAGAACGAGCCGAGATTCAATACATTACTCGTTGATTAGCATAAGGTAATGTATGTATGATTGGCATGTTCTGTGTTTTCTTTTTCTCGTCATAAGAAGAGAAATTTTACTATATATGATGATTGTTTGTAAGGCTAATAGTTGCATTTCTTTTTGGTTTTGTAATATTTTGTTCACTGTTCTGATATTTTGTCACAGCAATAAAACCTTTTTTTACTAGATTTGATAATTGTTTGTAAGATTGATAGATGCAATAAATGGTTTCCAAAAACACCAAATTTTATTTTGAAATTTATTCGCTTTTTTTATTTAGTAATCTTTGTGTGTTTATCAAATATGTGGCATAGGTATAGGTATTTATGTCGATTTCATATTTAATTTTCCAACTAACATCGACTATGACTTTTCTTTTTTTGTCACATCACTCTTTCTTTTCTAGTTTGGTTTTTATTTGGGCGCTTGACTAATTAACGTTCCCTCTGACCTCGTCACTTTTGCTGCTTGTCTTAGCTCTAGTTACGAAACTACCCCTAATGTGATATATGATCCAACTCAATAAGGTAAAATAATTATTTCACCAATCCTAATACTTACTCCATTTCCCCCATAATAATAAAACTTACATAAATCGAAGACAATGTTAATTTGAAAAAACTTTTTTGTAGACTTTCGGCAACTCTACAGAGAATTTTCCATCTCTCTCCTTTTTTTAATGCAAGAATTATACTGTCAATTGTCAAAGATGTTAACATTTTGTTTTGAGTGTTTCAAACTACATTTATAATAACATTTTATTTTTTAAAAGTCATTAGTCTAGAAACTACTCTTCATTTCTTGCAAACGCTTAAAGTTTTTTTATTTTATTTGTCAGTTTTTATCAATTAAAATACTAAAAGGGAATATTGTTCTTTATTTTAAAATGCTTTATCCTATTAAATCGTACTTTCAAAAAGAATTAGATACTCGATATCACAATTAAACGAAAAAATGGACTACAGTATAATTTTGTGATCTATATAATCCCTATACATAAACATTTGCAGCTTTATAATTTACAACTTAATCTATTCGAACAATTATTATTGAGTTTTTTATTTAGTTGTGAGAATCTCTATTTGTAAAAAAAAAAGGAAGTAACTTGTGTGGTCAAACAAGCAAAGCACAAAGTCAAGGAAGAGTAAAAGACACAATTCAGTATGTGAACAGTGTCATGTTTGTAATAAAGCACAAAAACTAGGGGTGAGATGTATTTGCTGTATGTTAATTGGAGTTTCCATCGTACTACAAAGTGTGGGCCCCACACCACCTCTCCGTCTCTTCCACCTCCATCCATAGATAGAGATTTTCATTTTTCCTTCATTTGCTAGAAGATTTTTCTCTCACTCTTAATAGTGAGTTTATATTGTCACAGAGTTTCAGATCTAGAAGAAGAAGAAGACTGTTGTTGTGGAGAGAGAAGAAACCCATCTAAAACCCTTGAAATCAAGTGTCAATCTTGGTAACTATAACACTTCTTTTTCTTTTCTTTCAACTGTTAGATTTGATCAATTTTTTAGGCTTTCTTGTCTGTTTCTTTAGTTTCTGATTGCTTTGGTTTTATCACCAATGCTGTTCGATTCCCTTGAAGTTCTTGTTTCCTTATAGAGATCTGCTTCTTCTTTCCATGATTTACTTCTGCTTGATCGGATTGTATACTTTAAGCTTGACTTCGTTTGCTTTCTACAAAAAAGGGTTTTTGAGCTTCGGAAGTTCAAGATTTTTGTTTACGATTCATAGGGTTCTTGTGAATGTTTGGTCTGTGAAGTTAAATGTTTGATTCGAGTGATAAGGGATGTGTTTCGGATTTCGAAAATGATTCTTCTAACTTTGATTGAGAAAATCTACAGAGTTTCTTTGGGTGTTTGTTTTACTTTGCAATTT